AGGGTAGGACAATTCCCTACATAGGCTGAACAAGTCTCTCAGCTGCCAACATCTGGTTCTCAGGCTCCAAGTTCTCCCTTCTTTCCAAGAATAGAGTATAATGTGCAGGCTATGACCAGGAAAGGAAAAAAAAAAAAAAAGCATCAAGGAAAGTAAGACCCTCACTGCGCTGTCTCCTGATACTTGAAAGGTAGGGCCCTCTCCAAGGTGCTGAAAAAAGCCTCAGCATGCACAAAAAAAGGCATTGTCAACCATGCAATTGGTCAACACTCAGTCCTCAGAAGGATTAACAGGTCAGATAACTCATCTTCCAATCACTGCTTAACTAAGGAAATGAGCTGAGTTCTTGCATTCCTTTCCTTTCTCCTGCTCCAAGGACAAGTAGCTGCAGAAGTAGCTGTCATGTCATCTGTGGAGAGACCCATCTTTCTTGAAAGTGGGACAGTGGGAAAGGCCCTTATGACACGTGCATCCCTGAAAACCTAGTTAATATTGTTTATTGGGGTGTTGGGGATGGGATAGCTTTTAGCTGCTTGTGTTGTTCTTTCCTTCCTACCCATCCAACATTAAGGCTTTGTCCTATTTTATTGGGAAAATAACAAAGTTTGGATAAGAAGCAGATATTATAGCAGTTGAAAACTGTGCTCTACAGCATGACAGTCTTGGGTTTGAATTTTAGCTAGTAAATTTGTTTAAAATAGTCACTACCTTGGCATTTAGGCCTGACATAAGTCATTTGAGCCCCAGTCATACTCTGTTACCTTTGTTACTCTGTTACTTAGAACTTGTGTAGTTGCTTACAGAACCTCCTGCTTGTTCTTCATTTCACTACCTAAAACTCAACACATCCTACAGCTGCTGATCAAGATACAAGACACAACTCAATACAGAGTCATGCAATCAAGTTCACACCTCTATGTGTTTTCTTTAAATTCACCACTCCACAATCCCATGAGGAAACCTAGAGGATAGTGTCACAAACCTTAATAAAGTGTCCACAGGTCTTTTATCTCTCTTTTTTTCACTTCTTATCTACAGTTGAACACCCTGCCATATCAGTCCCCTAGTTAGCACCTACCTGATTTCTATCCTGCTCCCTAGTTAGCACCTCCAACCTCTCTGGGACTGGTGAATAATAACTTTCCTCTGTTTCATGTATTTCTATTTTACCCCTTTGTTGTGTCTTTCCTGTCACTCATCTGCATCTACCCTTTCTTCTAGTCTAGGCCTTGCCTAGAAATCAGATGCATTAGTTTACAGGTATTCTTGACAGAGACACTTCAAGAACAAATCATAAAAAAACCATTATTGTAAAAATCACAGTGTATTGTATCTCTTAGGATTAGAGGAAATTTTCAAGCAAAACACAAGGCTTTCATGGGCTAACATAATGTATTGGTCACCTTTCTGTTGCTGGGATATAATATCTGACATACACAGTTAAAGGAAAAAATGGTTACTTGGGCTCCTGATTTCAGAGATTTGGATCTGTGGATAACTGACTCCAAGGTAGAAACAACAGGGTGGAAGGGTGTGGTGGAGGAAGCTGCTCACCACGTGGCAACCAAGAATCAGAGAAAGGGAAGGAGAGAGCCAGAGAGAAATAAAAGGCTCTGGGGAATGATATGCCCTTTAAAGGAACATCCCAGCAACCTACTTCCTCAAACTGGGCATCCCCTGGTAGCCCATTAAGCTATGAATTCATCAAGGAATTGACTCATTTATGAGATTGGTGCCATCATGTTTCTGTCACCTTTCTAGGTCCCACCTCTGAACACTTTTTTTGTACTAGGGATTGAACTTATGACCTCGCACTTGCCAGGCAGGCACTTGTGCCACTGAGCTAATTCCCTGGCCCAATTGTTCATTGGGGATCAAATCTACAATACAATAGTCTTTGGGGGATGTGCACATTTACGCTATAATAGAGAGGTTGAGTTTTCCTCAAGTAAGTTCAGAAGTAGGCAGTGCAGTACTAGGGTACCTCAAGAACGTCTTTGAGGGCTAGTGTTCTTTTTGTCTTTCAGCTATGTCCCATTATGCAATTTCATCCTCTGAGTTGAAAGGTGAATTCTGTAGCTTCAGGTTTTGTATTTATGTTCAGGGCAAGAATATTAAGAAAAATGGTAGACAAATCCCTCAAAAAGCTGTACCAGGAGATTCACCCAGGAACTTTGACTGATAATCTTACTGACTTACATCATATTGTGAGAAAAAGTATTAAAGATACTATTTAATTATTCTAATCTCTATAGTAAGAAGGGAAGGATGAAATAAGTAGTAAATGCCTCATTATCTGTGTGACTTTGATTATGTTTCTTGACCTACAGAAACACATTCATGCATCCATACAATGTGAATGTTGCCTGGCTTGCAAAGTTGTTTCAAAGATTAATGGAGATGATGTACAATAAATCCTTCTCATAATACCTGTTATGTCATAAATTCTACAACTTTTATTATTATGTTAGACCATGTTTATAGTCCATGGAGAGAAATATACAATTCAAAGTAGAATCAGTACTTGTCACCCTAAGATTTTTACTAATTGGAATCTCAGCTGAACTTTGAGAATACATATTGCTAATCTCTATTCATCAATGGAAAATAGCTGCAATTAAGAAGCTATCAATAGTCTTGATACCCTTTTCAGTGGCAGGTATTATACACAAAATATGCATCCTAACTTGGCATAAGGCTTAGAATCTGTCTCAATGGTGAGACAGCACGATTGAGCTTCATAAGAACTCCAAGAGAAGAGAAATTTGGATTTGGTGGATCTGGATGAGTGACCTTGTTCTGTCCCTTACTCTCAATATGACCTCAGAGTAAGTCTCTTTTGACTTCAATTTATTCATCTGAAATTAGATATAGTAAGTCTTTATCTCACAATACTTTGAAGGTCAAACAAGGGAGTGATAAGGATGTGTAATTAAAAATATGGGGGTCTGGTGATACATTCTTTTAACCTGTTAATACTGTCACTTGAAGAGACCCAGATATTCTCATTCTCTTTAGATAAGGGGACATGGGTCCAGTTGCCAAGTGGGGAGTTTGTCTTCATCACCTTCCTCCTATTCTATGGCTGAGCCATTGCTGATCAAGAACATCTGTGCTTTGACTCCTCTGGCACAGAACTCAGCTCCTGCAAGTTCTGCAAGATGACAGGGAAGCAAGCACAGGGAGAAGGAAAGTAGTGTCCTAATATTTGAGGCACTATGCTTGGTGCTTTAGATAAAGTGTATATTTAAGATTTCACACACCCTTTACAGATACATATTTTATACACAGCTATGCATATAGGTAGCTTAAAATAAGAAAAATGAGGCTCAAAATGGTAAGCAACTGATGCATAATTATACATCTAGTATTCAACTAGAGTAGGAGCAAAACCAAGCTCTTTAGTTAGAGAAATCTTAGAGTATCAACTAGAGTACAATTTGTCACCTTATAGATGACAGTTCTAAAGGTTAGAGCAGTAATGTGACTTTCTCAAGGTTACACAGTGATATTAGCTGAGTCAGAATTGGATTTCAGATCTCTGAGTGGCCAAGCTAGCAATTTTCTTATTTTGTGACCATGCATGATGATAACATTACAGTACAGACTTCAGCTGAAGGGTAGTAGAGGTCCTCAGGTCCAATGCAAATGCCAGCAGGCCTTTTGGCAGGTGGTGTGGTCTCTTACTACTGAGAGACTCTTCTGATTCCTTTGGAAACACACCTTCTTAGAGAAAGCCCTGGCTGAGCCTTGCTGCAGCATCCACTGAACATTTAAGGGGAGGAGGTGATGTGAGAAGAAAAGTGAAGTGGAGAGAGGGGAGAATAGAAGAGAAATTGAAAGCAAGAGAGAGGAAAGCAAGGCAAGAAGAAAATCAATGCCTCATTGCAAGCAGGTGGGAGCTGCAGTTGTGATGAATATTTACCGTGCAGCGGCCTAATGATTTTAGAAATGTTTTTCCAACTGTACTGAGCGCTTGTGGGATTGTTTTTCAAGAAATAAAATACATTAAAGCTCAGTCATTAAGAGCTTAAAGAAGGAGGAGTGCAGGCTCCAAGCCCATTAGCACACCCTGTAGTTAAGTAAGGGCCTCATTCCTAATGCATTTTTAATTTATTCTGTTTTGTAAAATAAAACTTTAAATGACTTCTTGTATCATCAAATTTGTAGGCAGTTCCCAAATCTGTCCCCAGCCTTGGAGCACTGCTGAGCTGTGAGGTGGTTCCAGCTCAGTTGTGAGTCTAAGCACTCTCCTGCCCTGGCTTACAGGTTGCTTTGCTGGAGACAGATGTTTGTAGAAACCTTGCCCAGTGTTTGCTAGCCTGAGGAAGTGTCCATTGCTGCTGCAATTGTTCCTGGATGACAGGGAAGGGTTTCAGGCTAGACATCACTTGGGAAACCTGCTGGTAGGGGCTAGAAGGTATCTGACAATGGCAGAGCACTTGCCTGCCATATACAAAGCTCTGGATACAAACCCTACTGAGGAAACTTGGGGCCTGGGACCAGGGACCTGGAACCAAGAGATTCACCTTCCCTGAGGATGCTGGAGACCAGGAAAGCATTCCTGCTTGAGAAATGGGGAAGAGGCAGAATGAACTCTGAAAGACTGAAATGGGTTTTCTCAATTATCTCATCAGCCTATGAAGGGGGCACTGTTTTTAAAAATTATGAAACAATTGAAAGAATTAAGATTTAGGTGAAGTCCCTTCTTCTAAAAACAGATTGATGGTGAGAGTTCCCCCTTGAATTCAGGTGAGTCTGACTCCAGAGCCAAGTGATGAGGCAAGCAGGAAAGGGGTTAAAAAGATGGTCTTTTAAGGATTCCTTTCAAACAGTATTTGTATGGTGAATTTTGAAGAAGGCATAAAACTTGCACTGCCTCCTAAAAAAGACAAAAAAGCTACTTGTCTGTGGTACAGCTTGCTAAAAGGATTAGGATTTTTCTATTTTTCTCTTTTACCTAGTTTCTTTCTATAGATCTACCCTCTTTGTCCTTTCAGGTCTCTGCTCAAGTGTCTCTTTGGCAGAGAGGTCTTCCCTGACTAGCCCATCTCAAGAGCCCTCCCACCCAGGACACTGCCCAGGCAAGGGTATGTACCTTATCTTGTTTCCCCTTTCTCCTTGGCAGTTTTCCCTACCAGATCTATTGCCTTGGTTGTTTATTTCCAGTCTTCCCCAATAGACTGTAAGCTCTATGTTGGCATGGGTTTTACCACTTTTGTTACATTTAGAAGAATATCTAGCATACAGTAGATGCTCAGTTAATAATTAAGTGAGCATCATAACTTTTCTAACCTTGGAGTTCATATTTCTCACTGTAATTAACTGGTAGTAATTTGTGAGGGAGAATAACTAATCATCATTAGCTTGAAAAGATTAAGGAATTATTTTCAAGAGCAAACACCCTCAAACTAGCTTAGATTTTCTGAATCCACAAGATGCTTCCAAGGTTAGCCAAACAATCCTCATTTCAGAGATGATGAAACAACTCAGAGACATAAAAGACTCTTCCCAAAGCCACAAAGCCCACCAACCCAAGGCTTCTTAAGATCAGTCTGATTCTTTTTCCACATACCAGGCAAGATGCCCCTGGATCTTGGAGTCCATATCTGTGATGACATGTATGGCCCATCCAGTCTTTATGGGAAGCCTACATCTGTCAACTATTGAGAAAAGTTATTATGTTAAGATAGGTGAGGTAGCAAGACCCTTGCTGAGTCAGGCAGAGATACACAGGCTGCATGCCAGTCTCCATCTCTGCTTGCTAACACTACCCATCAGAGGCAAGTCATACACAAGACCAGCTGTGACCATGAATGCAATAAGAATCTGCTTTCTTGTTATGGCTTATGAGGCTCTGGGAAGGACTCCTTTTACCACATTTTTTAGAATGTGGAGTTTTTAAGAAATCCTGAATATCTTTTAACAGAGCACAAACTCTGGCACAATCACAAGAGAGAGCCCATTTTTCTGGAGAAGGAATACATTGACTTGAAGTCTACTCAAAGGAATAAGTGAATAGCAGAAGGTCACATGCTGATTCCCTCAGTAAGCAGGTTCATAGTAAGAGTGGGAAGAATATTCTTGCTGCAAACCTCAGCATATACCATTTCCCCTGCCTTTTCGTATGTCTCCCTGCTGTGACTCTCATCACCACCCTCTGGCACCCAGGAGACACCTGACTGCCTCAAAGGAACCACTTTCCTGGAAACAGACTGTTAGAGCTGCAATTAACTGTGAGAAAAAAATGCGTATTTCTTAAGCAACTCTGTGTGCCCAATGTTATGGCAGCTGTTTGCACATAGTTCTCCAGCTACAGAAGACAAATGAGACTATTCCAATTAAAAGATGAAAAATCCCAGGCTCAGAGAGCTGGTAGTACACAGAGCTGGCAAACCCAGGCAGTTATAACCTTCAAGTGTCCAGTGAACCTGCTGCTTGGACCAAACTAAAGCTACTTCCCAAATGATATTCTACCAGTGAATAAATAAGTAACGGTGAAATATAACTGAGGCATAAAATAAATAAAATACTAATACAGAAAAACACTGTGTAAGTTAAAGGAGCCAGACAAGAAAGTTCACACATTGCAAGATTTCATGTATATGAAATATCCAAAATAGGTAAATCCATAGAATCAGAAAGCATATTGACGTTTGCAAGGGTGGAGGCAGAAGCAAAGAGGAGAGACAATTTAACTGGTAAATTGTTCACTTTTGAGGTGACAAAAGACATTATGGAACTTAATATAGATGTCTGTTTCATGATATTCACGCTTTTAAAAAGTAGTAGTTTTAAGCTCTTCAGATTGACTATGCGAGGGGAGGAAAAGGGACAGCATCCGCCGGCCACAGCAAGTTCTGTGTGAGTGATTCTGATGACTGCTACAGAAAGGGCACCCTACAGCCAAGAGGACACCCCTGAGAAATCCTAACTCCTGTTGCCCCTGCATGCCATATCTCCCAGGAGAGAAAAATGGTAGGCTCTTTCCTCAGGGACTCAGAGCTTCCTTTGTAGCTTTTCCAGAGGCAAGGCTGCAGTAACAGTGAAGAGAGGCCATCGACCTTGAATTTAAAACAGAATTCTGGATTTAAAAAGCTCAACAGCTTTGGTGGTTGTCACTACTTTTAATAGATTTTTCTCCCGTATGCATTCAATTATTATCATTGTCATCAGTACATGGGGGAAATTTCAACGTGACTCTTAAAAATGTCAAGTTTATTAGACACTCTCAAAGCTTAGTTAATTTTGTTGTTTGTTCTCTACTCCCCCTTATTTTTATCTAATTTATTTATTTTTCGGCTGTGAGTGCATGGCTAGGCTAAACATATGGGCTGATTTTTCTCCTCTGGTTTTAAAATACTTCAATGAATTCTGCAGAGGTTCATAGTTGCAATGTGTGCAAGAGGGGCAAAGAACCCCTGAGCCTGGGGGAAGGGCCCAGCTAATCCCACTGTCAGTCGCTGGGGCTGCCTCTTGGGAGACTTGTCTCCAGCCAGTATAACCCACAGGCCTCCTGGTCTTGGAGTTTTGGTTTCAATTTTAGTTTTGTTTGGGAAGAATTGCTTTCCTACCCCTGACAGTGATCTCCAGAGATTTCAAATGCATCATTATTGACCTTAGGTCTCCAAGGAGAGTTTCTGTGTGGTCTGCACTCACCCACTTAATATGGCGAATACTTCTGCTTGCCTTCATCTTTCCTGGTACAGGGTTTTCAAGGAAATAAGCCCATTAGGTGAAGAAAGAGGATTCCTCTCTCCCTCTCTCTTTCTCTCCTTCCCTCCCTCTCCTCTCTTCCACCCCCCACCCCAGCCCCCTCTTGCACTGGCCCAGCTGCCAGAGGGTGCATTAGATACTTCATGGTACCAGAGGATCAACCAGGTTTAATAACTTCCACCACAACACCTAAACACATACACCCCATGCACACATCATACTAGAACTAGAGATTAAACAACAGGGCCTCCACACTCACCGGGCTACATCCCTGGTCCTTTTTACATTTTTTTGGAACTTTGAGATACCATATCACTAAGCCACTAAGTTACCCAAGCTGGGCTCAAACGTGGCAATCCTCCTGTCTCAACTTCACAGAATGCTAGGATTTATGCCTGGCATCAGGCCAGCCAGCTTGTACAGCTAAGAAACAGGATCCAACAATCAGACACCACAGAGCAATTGTATCACCAGATACACAAAAGGCTCTCCTCATTAGTCCAAGTCCTAAAGCCTTCCTCACTGATCATTACTCAGTTCTATGTTTTATGTCTTTCCACCTACTTTGTGGTAGTGATGATTGTGGTAGGACAGCTAATCCAACTCTCTTTTTGTATTTCTTAAACTGGAGGCAGAAGCTAATCTGTTTTCTATCTTTTTTTCTTTTCCATCATAAGTTCCAAAGCTGTGAACAGCCATTAATGACTAAGTTAGATGTATCCTACAAGTTTTGAAATATGATGTTTTTGTTTATCAATCATTTCTAAATTTTAATTTTTACTGTGATTTTTATCTGACCCATCCATTTTAGAAGTATGTTTTCATTTTCTTTTGGTCTTATGCTACTTCTCTTTTTGTCCCTCAGACCTAACTGAATTACCAGTCAGACAGTGTGACCTCATAAAATGAATATTTCCTGAGACTTGCTTTGAGACCTAGCAGCTATTCAGTTTTTCCTAAATATTTCACTGTTTTTTGGGGAAAAAATGCATTCCCCATTTAGTAGATGCAGTATTCTACAGGTGTGTATGTTTATTAGTCTTTTAATGCTGTAAATTATTTTGCTTACTGGATTTATTTATCCAGAAGATTATGACACAATCTCACATTTGATGATGGGCTTCTTAATGTCCAATAACTTCAATAAACTTTATAGATTTTGAAGCTATGTTATTAAATGTATAGAAATTTAGAATTACTGTATCTTTCTAAAGATTTGAAGTTCTTATATTTGTGAGGTAATTTTTATTAGTTAATGTTTTACCTTATAATGTACATAAGCTGATATTAATATGGCTTCACTACCCTTTAATAGTTTTTGTTCGGTATATTTTTTACTCTCAGTTTTTATGTTCTTGCGTTATTAAAACCTTTTAGTTAACATATGGTTAGCAACTTTTTGATTCTCCTCCTCCTCCTCCTTCTTCTTCTTCTTCTATACTGATAATTGAACTCACAACCTCATACTGGTGATGTGCTGCTCAATCTCTTCATTTTCATTGGAGAGTTTATCAATGTATTGTGATTTCTGATATATTCTACAAATACTGCTTTTAAATTTTGGTTGTTTGTTTTTGACAGGGTTTGTTGTATTGCCCAGACTGGCTTTGAATGTACCAATCATTTTGTCTCAACCTCATGAATAGCTGGGATTACAGGAATGCACAAACTGCACAGCTATGATTTTAGAGCTATAGTTACTCATCATTTTAGATTTATATCTACTGTTTCATTTTGCACTTCCTATTTATAACACTTTGTCTATTTCTTGCATGTTGTTGTTGGTTTTGGGGGAAGGGGTGGTTGTCAAATGAATTTTTAAAATTTTATTTTAAAGAAGTAAAGGAAAGTGAAAAAAGTAAGATATGTATATATATATATATATATATATATAATTTTATTTTAAAGAAGTAAAGTGAAAAAAGTAAGATATATATATATATATATATATATATATATATATATATATATAACAATGAAATTGAGCTTCAAAACAGGTTAGTTGAGTCATTACAATAGTTGATGCATTATGTATTTTCTTTAGAGTGTAAAATATAGGCATTATATCTTGTCCTAATGATATTAGCACAAAATATTCTTTTCAAGAAACTTTAAAAAGTTAACTGTATAACTATCTTATCTATCTTGTGTATACATACATTTTTTTCCTTTTTCCTTTCTTCCTTTCCTCTTTCCCCCATCACAGTTTGTCTTTTCTTTTGAGTAGTTTCTTCCCAGTTCACAGTATCTACTGTACACTTACATCCTATTTACTTGTTAATTTTTTCACACTAGTGAGACAATACAATGTTTATATATATTGGTCTGATTGATTTCACTTATATGTGTGGTCTCAAGTTGCACCCATTACCTC